GTTCAGTGTGAAGGGTTCAACCGCAAGTACTAAAGAAAAAAAAAAGTCAGTGCATTTAAGGTGCTTCTCTAAGCTGCTAATCTTCTGGTTCAGCCAAGAAATACATATATGCACAAAAATACATGCACAGAAATTCACAGGTGAATAAAAATGTGTGTTAAGTAAGAACATCATCTTTGGCCTCAGTAATGAATGCAGCTGTATTGATTACCTTAAATGTACCAATAAACTTGATGGGGGGAGGGAGGGGAAGAATATCATCTTTGGAAACAAAGTTAGGCACACAAGCAAAAAAGTATTGAAACCATAAGTGTTGGCTTAGGCTTTGTTTGTAAGTGATAAGCATCTCCATAATGAGTAACATCTATATCCTTCCACTAATAAAGCCAAGGAGAAGACACTTTGTACTGTACAGATTTTCACTGCATGACATGAAACGTCTTGGGTGATCAGGCCTCAAGTGAATTTATAGAATAAAACTGATGGATCGCCTCCATTGCTCGCCGGAATCAAGCTCTGCCTTCTGAGCAGGCAGAAAAGACACCATCTTGAAGTAACAAGTGTAAGCCTTCGATGGAGACACCATCTTAACGGGAAAACTCAGACACGGTCCAGGGAAGTTCAGGCTGTTGTGACTGACTCACGATGACAGAGTTACAGAGAAGACCTTGGCCACAAGCACCCGCGTCCCCTTTGCCAACACTTCTCCAACCCAGAAGGCGGCCAGCAGCTTTCGTCCAGTCTTGCACCTGCCGGGGTCACCTTGTTCCTTAAAATGTCATTTAAATGAACTGAATCACAGCCTCTGCTCAGTGTGTTGTCCTGCGCATCCATCCCGGCACCCACCGGGGTCAGGTGGAGCCTGTGCTCTCTCCTCCACACCTCGATTCTGAGCTTCTGTCTCAGGCTGGTCTCACGCCGGAAGGAAGAAACTGAAACACCCCATACTTTTTCGTAAGAATCTAATTAGGAAGTGCAAGGGCAGACATCTCAGGACGTAGAAGGGGCGGGGACAAGCTTACTAAACAGGAGGTGACCTAGGGCCTGGAGAACGCTGCGAGGAAGCCTTGGAAGAAGGAGACCAAGGAGCGAACCAGCATCTGCCATTTGCATCTGGCTAAAAATAGAGAAAAGAATAACTCCTGATGAGATTTGGAAACATGCAGACTGTAATGCAGGGAAAAAAAAATGACCCATGAAAGTAGAAAAGGGAACAAGTTAGTCATGGGATTGCAAAACCCTCAGCGAGCCCAACCGCAGGGGAAGGCTCTCTGGATCCTGAGGCCAGTGGGCTGGGAATTGATTCTGGGGAACACACGCTCTTCGCCCTCCGTGGAGAGAGTGAGTGCACAGGGCCTCCTGCTCTCTGCTGTGGGCCAGGCCTGCCAAGGAAGGGTGGCTGCTAGCGGTCAACCCACTCCGTCCACAACCCCGCTGTGCACATAGCGTTCAGGCTGCTCGTCTCTTACCCTCAGTTTTTCCAAGGATTTGTTCCCAGCCTTAGTTCAGAAGCCATTCCCAAATGTTATTCGGTTTCCTCACAGCCCGCTGTGATCCCGTGCTCAGAGCCCTTGCATATGTACCTGTTCTTGGGTTGGACTGGAGGAAATTCTGACTAAGCGAGCCCCCCCATAGGATAGAGTCCATTTACCTAGGCGTCTTTCCATCTCTGTGGCCCGTTTTTTTTGTACCTTGGAAATCTCAGTCAGATAAGATTGCTTGCAAAATCACAGTAATGCCTGGAAGCTGCAGAGGAGAAGTTCAGTGGGGACTGAGAACGAGAAGGTGTTAGCAGTGTGAGCTATGACTAGCGCGTGCTGCGATGGTGCAGACTGTGCCTTCCGCTTTCTGTGGGCAGAATGGCGGCAGCAGGGCTCTGCAGAGTGGCTTCCCCCGGACCTGGGGCTCACCCTTGGACCTGGGGCTTGCCCCGCGGTCCCACTTATGTGCCAATGTGTTTTGCAAGTGTTTCTGGACCCCCCAACCCTTGCAAGTCGTGTTCGAGGGCTACGGATGAGGTCATACCTGGCCAGGTGTGCACCAGGGGCAGGGATCTGCAGCACCTCAGGTCGGGGAGGTGTGCTGTGGACTCAGGCCTCTCAGTGACCCGCTGCACACTGACGGTTCAGTTTTAACCAAGGACACTCTCCATTCAGGGCCGCTGCCCACGAGGCTCGAGACTTGCGGATCTCTGAAGAAACAGAAAAGGACGTAGCTGTTGTTTTTCCTGCAAGATTGAGCCATCCCGGCTTAGTCATGGATTCATCCCACGAACAAGGAGAATCACAGAGGAGATGGTTAAGAGCCAGCAGCTGGCTTCTGCCCTCCAGGGCTGTACTGTGCCTTTTCTATTCTTAAGCAAAGTGGGGCACCTTTAGCTGGGGCTCTGCTTTCGAAGGGAAGTTCTAGGAAGTCCTTAGTGGATGGGAGAAGTCTGCTGGTTGCCACAGGAGTGTGAGTATCAGACAGTCACACCCATGACTGATCGGTCTTTATACTCCTGGAACAAGTCACAACAGGTTCAGCAACTGCCCCCTAACTGACGCATGACAACATTTTTCAAGGCAAAAACTAAGACAGTGAAAACTACTTGAGTTCTTTCATCTATATTTGAATTCACCTAAGCGCAATTATCCATCATTCAAATGAAAAACTCAAGTATTTGAAGCCAGTGTATGGCTAATGGCAGAGTTGTCCCTACAGAAATACTCGCAGCTGACACCATCAACGTTTGTTGTTTTCCTTCATCGTGGGACTTCGCCTAAAAGTAGCACGCGGTAGAGTGTACAGGGAAAGGCTCCCGCCCTGTGCCCCCAAATTAAAGTCCCAAAGCAGAACTTCACCCGGACAGCCCTCTGCAGGTCAGAGTCTGTTTGGAAATATCTCTTAAGATGTGTCTTGTTCACCCAAGGACTATGTTTAACAGATCAAAGGTCTTTCATGAGATGTCTCAGTGTAAAATCAAGACACTGTTCTCTCAGATTCCAAGAATCAGGATTCCTCCAGTTGCCTGTATTTTGGAAATTCAGGTTTTCTCCTAATCAGATTGTATGTCTGCTTTCTTGAGTTTTCTTCAAAGTCTATCATTTAGAGCTTTATTGTCACCTTGATTTACTGATTAGAAATGGAGAGGAAGTTAGGAAAAAATAGAAGAGACCCTCCTTGCTATTAAGATTTCTTGAAATTAAAAGTATTGTCTTATGACTTTCAGAAAGTATGTCCTTCTAAGTGTACCTGCCTCAAAGCATCATTTTATTCTCTTTATTTTTTGTATTTTTTGGTTCTGGGGATTGAACTCAGGAACTTGTGCTTGTGAGGAAGGTGGCAGTACCACTGAGCTAAATCCCCAGCCCCCAAAGCATCACTTTAGATAATGACAACCTTGTCAGCAGCCTTCAATTTTGAGATTGTCATAAAAATTTCATGTGAAGACCAAGCATCCATTACGAGTAAAGAAAATTTCATTTGTATCTCTAAGACCATTTTCCTGGTAATCATAGTGTAACCAGAACACAAACATACACGCATAACGCGTTGCCTACTGTTCTCATTAAACTCCAAGAGTAACAGGTATAGTCAGGCAGGGAAGCTTCTCGCTGGACAGTGGCCTTCGTGTTCCAGAGAGTGAAAGCTCTTGAAGACGTGTACAGCTGAAGACTGATCAAACTGCCATCCACTCAGCTGGAAACCAAGATGGTGGAGGGGAAGGGTGGGGCCCCGAGAACTCTCCGAGGCGATGTCGGGAGGCAGGCCAGGAAGAGGGGCCCGGAAAGGCGAGGCAGAGACAGGTTTTGTTCTTAACTCCTCACAGTCACACAGTGCTTCGTCATGTATTTCCTATGGTAGGCTCATCCCAGGAAGAAAAATCCAGAAAGAGAGAGAAGGAGGAAGGGTGGGCAGAGAGAGGGAGAGGCGGGAAATAAGAAGCGAGGGAGGAGGACAGGTCAGGCTGGGCTGCTCCATGCGGGGGTAGCCTCGGCCCTGTCCCCTTCTCTGGAGGATCTGAGAGGTCAGGAGAGGCCTGAACAGGCCCGACAGGCTGCAGTGACCCCACTGTCAAGGCCCGCTGTCCTCTCCCTGATCCAAGGGGGATGAAGCTGGCACAGCCAGGTCAGTGATTCCCAAACGTGCCAGGAGCACTGACCCTATGGTGATCGTGTGAGTGTGTGTGTGTGTGTGTGTGTGTGTGCACGCGTGTGAAGAAAGGCAGGGTGCTTTTGCAATTTCCAGCTAGAAACAATGGGTTAAGCAAAATATACTTGGCACTTTAGAGAACGAATGCGGGCAGTCTTCGCTGCAGCTTCTGCGGCCTCTGTCCTGCTGAGAGATGCGTGGCACGGAGAGAGGTGAAAGGGGCAAAGCACTAGCAGCTCTTGCAGGAACGCAGCAGTGCTGCCCTGAGGCTGGCATCGTGGCACCCACATTGCCTTGGCAGCTCCTGGGGCCGTTTTGTTTGTTTGTTTGTTTTTGAGACAGGGTCTCACTATGTAGTTGAGACTGACCTGGAACTCACTCTGTAGCCCAGGCTGGTCTCAAACTCAGTGATCCTCCTGCCTCAGCCTCTTGAGGGCTTGGATTACAGGTGTGCACCACCACGCCTGGCTGCTCTGGGGCCTTTTTAAACTGACTGCTACGTGCCCTAAACCTCGGAGAGGCACGCAGGTGCCCTGCTCGTGTCCACTTGGACTCGCCTTTTCTGACCACCCCAGGAGCTGAGGCTGAGCAGCACCTGCCCTGGGAAGACCGCGTCCTGCAAAGCGCTGATGTAGCAAACTAAAAGGTCAAGATACAAAGAGCGCGAGTGCGTGAACTGGACAGGGTCTGAATTTAGAGAATACTCCTTTGAGCTTGGCACGGTGGCCAGCTGTCATCCCAGGACTTGGGAAGCTGAGCCAGGAGGACCCAGAGTAGCAGGAAGAAAAGGAGGGAGGGAGGAAGAGGAGGAGCAGGCGGGCAGGCGGGCAGCCTCACTAGGGTCTGAGCTCTCTGTCCTCTTCCAGGTGCTCCATCCCCGACGGGTACGCGGCGCTGTTCTCGGCGGGGCTGGCGCCCCTGGCCTGCCTGGTGGTGGTGTCCGTGGTGTGCCTGCACGCCTACCAGCTGAAGCCGCAGTGGAAGGCCTACGACGACGTGTTCCGAGGGAGGACCAACGCCGCAGGTGCGAGGGGCCGGGAAAATGGCACTGGAGGTTTTTTCATTATAATTTCAAGGGCGTTGCCGGTCGGCCGGGGCTTCTTCCGCGGAGTCAGATGGGAATCCGGACTCACAGTGCAGCCTGTCAGCAGCGGACTCCAGGTGACACTGAGGCCGGCAGTGGACAAAGCTGGCTGCTGGTGTCTGCACTGCCGGCTGCTCCCACCCAGGCCCACCTCAGGGGTGGGGACCCGCAGGCCCCGGCTGCCGGCGCCGGTCTGCGCCTCGGCCTCTGCTGGCTGCTGGCCCGGCAGCTCTTCCGTGGGCACTGAGTGTGGCCTGGTTCCTGAGATGATACTCGGGCCTACCTGAGCAGGGATCACCAAGCCAGATGTGGTTTTAGCAAGGCCTTGCTGCAGAGACTGCAGGTGCTGCTTGCAGGACACCTGCGGGCCTGTCTCAAGGGAAGGCCAGGTGTGGATCCCTCTGTTCCTCATCTCAGAGGCCCTAGGGCTGTGCTGATCTGTAGTGGAGAGTGGCAGTTTGATAGCCAAGGGGAAGGCTGAGGCAGGCTGCCCCGCCCTGGGGAGGGGCGTGCTGGCTGCGGTCCCCTCAGGGAGAAGGAGTCCGGCATTTCTTGTGTCAGGTGTGGAACTGTCTTTGCACTCTGGAAATTATTTTTGGAAGTAAAGGAGGTGGACCAGGCATGGTGGCTCACTTATGTAATCCCAGCACTCAGGAGGCTGAGGCAGGAGGATCACCATGAGTTCTAGGCCAGCCTGGGCTACACAGTGAGACTGTGTCCCAGAAAACAAGAGTGACATTGGGCTGGGTGTTCCGCTCTCCATGCCTCCTGCTTGTTCGTCTTCCTAATGTCTCTGGTCCCAGTTGTTACGCTGGGGCCTGCCGTGGGCCCTGAGTGTGAAAGTCACAGGCGGGACTGTGCCCAAGCTTCAGTGTGTGTACCCCAGGCGCCTGCTCGGTCTGTGCCTGCTGGGCTTGGTGCCACCGCCCCAAACTTTCCCCTGTGAGTCCTCCCCTGCCCCGTTACTGAGAGGTTGAGGTCTGCTAGAAGGGGCTGCCAGCCCCGCGGGAGCGCAAGACCCTCACAGAGGCTCTGCCCAGCGAGGCCGGGTGGGCTGCTCCTCCCTGAGCCTGTAGAGACCCAGCCAGGAGCCAAAGCACAGAGGGGCTCCAGACTGCTGGTCAGGCTCAGTAAACATCGTCACTTAGGAGATGGCAGCTGGAAGAACAGCATCCAAGCGCCTGAGTGTGGTCAGGGAGATACAGAGGGTAAACCTGACTTCGGAGCTAGGACGAGAGAGTCTCTGGAAGAGTGTGCGGGTTATTTCAGGGTAGCAGCGTCTGACCAGAAATTCTGTTCGATCTCATTAGCACCTGGTCACTTTGTGGGCAGAAATACTAGTTCTTCAATAAAGAAGTAAGAATCAATGCAGCAGTCCTACTTGTTTGTGGGACCTAGAATTTATCCGAAAGCTGTATGTTCATTCACCTTGAGATTCATCTTATTAAACTGTGTACTCCTTTTTTGGAGGAAAAGACTGTTTTCTCTTTCCTTTAAAAATAGGATAATGTAGCAGCACCAATGTTTGCATGTTATTGGTGATAAGATAGCAGAGTGGGGTGGCACATACCTGTAATCCCAGCACTCTGGGAGGCTGAGGCAGGAGGATCACAAGGTTGAGCCCACCCTAGATAATTTAGTGACTTACAAGACCCTGTTGAAAATTAAAAAGCGCTGAGGGTATACCTCAGTGTGAAGGCCCTGGATTCAGTCCCACCCCATGATAACTTCAGTGCATTAATTCTTTGAAGTCCTAAGTCACCCCATACACCTACTGGATGATTCATATCTGGTATAGTAGATTTTTAAAGTACTTATGTTTTCTGAAAACATAGCCCTGAAGCAGAAACACATGCTAAAAGTTGTATCTCAACTTGGGCAGCCTCTCCTGCAGTGAAATATTACTAGCAGCATTGCTATAATATGAAAAGCCTTGTAGCATTGTTGCTTTTCAAATGAAAAGGCATTTAGGATATTTCCCATTCCCCTGTTCCCCTGACAGTGCAGCCTGGTAGTTGTTACCTCACACTTGGACTCTGGAAGGATCCTTCTGATTAGTCCTTCACGTTCTACTCTTTTTCTCCTCCGTTTCACAATCCCAGTTCTCTATAGTGAATACGCTCTCCAGCATTATAGTCCTTCCAGATCTTTCTCACCGCCAAAAAAAGAGGGGGGAAAAGTCTCCTTAGCCTACAAGAGTCTCTAAGGCCAACCCGTGGGCCATCTTCATCCCCAAGTGGGTCACTGTTTATCGTGCCCAGGCCCTTCTACTCATTCTTCCCTAATGTCAGCTGGTCTTGCCATCTTTCGTCACGCGAGGAACCTGTCAGAGCACCTCAGCATCCCTTGATAACACCTCTGTGCTCATATGTGATGCGGGACATGAGTGGGGGAGTGGAAGGGGCTCATCAACCCTCACCATCTTTGTTAGAGCCCAAAGGTGCCCACAGTAACCCCATGGTGCAGGCAAAAATGGTTTGCTTCACAAACATAAGTTAATTCCACTAGGCCTGGCCTGGCTCTTACAGAAGCTCCGGAAGTGACAGCACCCTACTTCCGGTGAAGCCTTCAGAATTGCCTCTTTACTGACTAATGGCAAATAAATTACTCCTTCCCTCCTCAGTGCTTTGAAGTACTTGTCCCTACGGTCATTACAGTGCTTGTCAGAGTGAAATAGCAACTTGTTGAGGGAATGTAATCAGTTTCAGTGCTAAATTATTAATTCCTCAAGGGCCAGGAACATTTAGTATGTATCTCAAAATCGCAGGGCCTTTCGGACTGCTCAGGAGCATAATTAATATTTTTGAATAAATGAATCAAATTAATCTTCAGTGTACCCATAAAATCCCAGGCTGGACTCGAACTCACAGCAATCCTCCTGCCTCAGCTGCCCTAGTGCTGGGATTATAGGCGTGAGCCACCACACCAAGCTGCAAGACCCAGTTTCAAAAAAAATAAATAAATAAATAAGAAGAAGAAGAAGAAAGAAACCCAAGAAGCAGAAGAATAGATTACCAAGAGGAAAGTGTGGGAGGGGAGCACAATTTAAAGAGATCATGGTTGAGAATTTTCCAGAATTAAAACAGGTAACTACACAATTAGTAAAATGTCTGTTACAAGTAGCACAAGCCCCACTCAGGGGTCCAGATTCCATGCAAGCCGGTGCGGTTAATCCTCTGAGGACCCTCATAAATGCTGTAAGTTTTCATTACAGCAAAAGCCGCGTTGCCGTTCGCCCCTCCGGCTGCGTCCCCCCTGGCCGCTCTCTGAAGCCGCTCTGGAAGTCGTCTTGTGTGAGTGATTTTTCTGGCACCGCCGTGGCTGCCTCGGTGTCCAGACTTGGCTCGAAACGGCTCCCTTTCCCGGCCGTGCTGGCTTTGGCCAAGATCCCGAAGCCGTGTGGTGCAGATCCGGGGAATATGAGGATGGGACGCAGCCTCGGGGCTTCAGGCCCCGCCTTCGGGTGGCGCTGGACAGCAGCGGTCACTGTCGTTTTGTTCACACCTGGGACAGACTCTGGGGAGGGGGAGCGGCCTGGTCTGCCCTTGTCCCGAAGAAGACCGTGGCTCCAGTTAGGCTCTGCGATCCCAGCATGCAAACAGCCCTTCTCCTAAGGCGCCTGGGGCAGTTTGTACTTTAATTGCATTTCCGTTCACCTCTAAACTAAATGAGCATTTTTAGAATATTAGAAAGTACTATGAAACATATAATGTCTAGGAATAAAATAAACCAAAACTAGAAAACAAATTCCCTTTTCTTATAAAAATGCAATCTCCCACTTACAAATCTTGCTACGTTTCAGGTAGCTTCGGTCAGACGTTGTCAAGGACTTTGGGTTACTTATCGATCATTTTTAACAACCAAGGAGACAAATTACAAGAAGGAAGGTTCAAGCTGTGTCTCTTTATGGCCAAACTGTTTTCGAGAGTCAGGATGGTTATTTATCTGCCTGCGCCGTTCAGGTTTGGTGACAGGAACAGTCGGCCAACATCCACCTGGATCCCTGCAGACCTCACCCATCACCGTGTGGGCCCAGAACCTTCCACGGTTGCAGGGAAACCTTCTCCACACTGATCTCCCCTTGCAGATCAGGCGTGCTTCACGAGTGCACAGATTATCCAGTTTTAAGCTGAGCATTTTGAGTGACATTTTGCTTCAGAGAAATTCAGAGAAATCCAAAGGCAAGAGGGGAGCAGAGAAAGAGCCCCTATGAATGAAGGACGCTGGCCCTGAAGACGCCACCCCAACCTGTGCCCTGCCCACGGCTGGCACCAGAGACAGCGTGGCCTTGGGGCACCTTCGCTGTCCAAGGCTGAGAGGACAACCCGGGGAGGGGCTCCCTGGAGAGTCCCGGGAAGGAAGCCCTGGGAGGGCGGGCGGTGTCTCCCCAGCGCAGCCAGCACAGCCTGTAATTTTGGGTGTGGTTTTGATCCGGGCTGTGATAAGCTCCCGCCTCTCCTCTCATACTCATTAGACTTTGCTGACTGCTTTCTGACTCATCAACCAGGTCTTAGGCCAGCAATGAGTCAGGCCTGGGAGAAGGAGGTGAATGTGAACAGAAGGAAGTGGGTGATTACCACCAGTCCCTTTGTTCTCAAAGCCACACCTCAGTGTGCAGTGAGAATCTCAGGTGTGGAGTCTCCTAGTACTGGGGTGGCCTCTTCTCTTCCTACCTGGAGTGTTGGAGACAAACACTTCCAATCCCACCCCACTTTTCTCTCAGTTTTTTGAGACAGGGTCTCTCTATGCAGCCAGGCTGGCCTTGAACTCACTATGTAGCCCGGACTGTACTCACGCTCACAGCAGTCTTCCTGCCTCAGCCTCCCGAGTGCTGGGACTACAGGCTGTGTGCTTCCGAATCCGGCACTCGCATTTCTCTTGAGACTCCAGTTCTTCATCCTCCGAGTGAGCCACAATAGTAAAAGAAAGCAGTTCTCCAT